CCAGTCGCTTTATTTTTATTAATAACATTGAATATTTATTTGTGTTCACTAATCTTTGGGTTGCCTCTTTTGAGAACTAATTGTTTATGCTTTTTGTCCATTTAGTTGTGGTTTTTTTTTTAATTATTATTCACTTGAGTTCTTATGTATATTCTGGAGAGAAACCTTTTTTCTTAATTATATGAGCCACAAATATCTTCTATCAATTTTTGGATTCGCTTTCTAAGTTGTTAATATGTCTTTTGAAGATCAGATTGTCTTAATATTACTGTGGTGAAATTTATCAAACTCTTCATATGATTTGGAATTCTGCATCTTAAGAAACCATATACTAAACATTCTCCTACATTTTCTTCTAAAAGGTTTAAATATAGCCTTTCATATTTGAATCTGTTATCTATTTGGAATCTATTTCATGAAAGCTGTGAGATCGGGTCCCATTTCATTTCTCTCTATATGAACGGTTACTTTTCCTAGCATCATTTGCTAGTCTACCCTTTCTCCACTAATATGCAGTGTCAATTCTGAATTATTCTCAGATTGGCACACGTGGGTCAGTCTGTTTCTGGACTCTACTCTGTTGCACTGGTCTACTTGTCGATTGCTGAGACTACACCTCAGTCTCAATCATTATTCCTTTCCAGTGGACCCTGGCATCTGAAAGAACAAGTTCCCTGGCATGCATTTCTTCAGGAGTATCTTGACTACTCTGGGCCAAGTGTTGTTCCATATATGTTTTAGAAACAACCTGTCAAGTTCTAAAATGATAATAATAATAATAAAGATCCCATTTGAATTCTAATCAAAACTGTGTGGAATATACTAGTATAGATCAATTTGGCATAATGGGATTTTTTATAATTTCCTTCCTCTTCTGACTTATATAGGTCTTCTTGAATGTCTTTCCATAGGTCTTGAGATATCTTGTAAATAATTGGTATCTTGTAAAAAAATCAGAGATGCTTCAGCTACAATGATAACACATGACCCAGCTCCTGTTTTGCCTCAATACTGTCAGTGGGTCACAATGTTACAGAATTAAGTATAAACTCTTATTCAGGCATTGAAAGCCTACAGTTACTCTAAGAATACCCTATGGCACAGCATTAACATGAGGTCCCATCTTAAACATAAAGTCTATAAATCAGGAAAGTATTATTCTATTTTTATTCATTTTTCTCTTTTCTTCAAACTCTCTCTCATCTCTTAAAATATATTTATCTGTTTATATCAAACCCTTTATTATCTTCCTCACCCTTGGTCCCAGACATCCTACAAATCATAAACCTTTCTGCACACTGAACAGGCCCAGACACTGCTCTTTCTGCCTTGTAGCCACCCTTCCTCTGACAAGTCAGTGTGCCACCAGGCTTCCAGCATTCCAAGTAACTTTTTTAAAGGTATGGTACTCACTTCTGACCCCTCACGATAGGATAATCACAATCCGTTTTCATCTAATTGCTACTAAATGAAGTATCACTCCTTGTCTTTCTTTCAGTATCCCTACGGAATATGCATACTTTTTACTTTTGTAGGGAATCTAATCCAACTAAGACTCTTAACCGTTTCTCCTACCAGGATCTTTCTAACATGCCTGTTCTCTGCATTTAGTCTGATGCTGACATAACTAGCTGCTAGGCAGCCACGGGCGTTATCAGGTCACTTCAGGGCACTTGGATACAATGTCGAGAATTCTATAAACCAGAGTCATCTGTAGACATGAAACATGGCAGTAGTAGGGAAAAATTATTTTTCACATCTTGGAACACGTGTAAAATTATATTTGTCCAGTACAGGACCACACACTCAAAGGGATTTAGGGTTTGTTATGGCTTTGATAAAAAAAAATAATTGCTATATTTGCTTTATGTATTATAAGAAAAAAGCATTCAAGTATATTAAGTAATATATGTCCTATCAAAAATTTAATGAGATATTTGAGTGGCTTAGTTTATAGAAAGAACCAAACAAATGATGTTCAGTTATAACTTTAATGGGGTAAACTTGTGCATGGCTGGAAAAACGGTTTTGTCAATAATTCAATATCGAGAGCCACATAATGAACCCATCCCAGCTGGGGAGCTCTGTCCTAGAAGAACATGTGCGCATGCGAAGAAAGGGCGGCTCATCTGCTCTTCCTTCCCTCTTTCCTTTCTGACCCCTTCACTCTCCCCTTCCTTTCTCCCTTCACTATTGCATCCTAACATTGTTTCCACTGACCTACAATTGATAATCCTTTTGCTTCAATGAGCCGCCTGGCGGCCTGAAAACATGCTATAATCAACTCATCCTATCAAGGAAACATTCAGTGCTTAGAAAGCAACTCAGAACTGGACAGTCCCCAAGAGGCAGGAGGCAGAGCACTGCGTCTGAGGGGTAGGACCTGGAGAACTGGCTGCAGGCACTGGGCCCTCCTGTTGAAAAGATGTGTTTATTGGAGGGATCCTTAAACGCAGGAGGGCCTGAGTTTGGTCCACATTTCACTTCCTTTTCTAAACCTCTAGGAAGTGGTTCAGCGTTCCCTAGCAACAGAAGCAAAGGATCAATTTAGAAAAGTGCTTTCCAGAGCATTCCTATCTAGTTTCTGACCAAGCCATTTAGTTTGAAATTCTAGGAGATTTATCACCGACTGTCCTCAGCAGCAACACTGGAGGAGCACCTCTTGATATGTATACTACTAATATCGGAGATGACAGATTCCACCTCTGCTGCACAAGCAGGGATGAGTTTCTGCAAGAATTACCGTATTTTTCGGACCATAAGACGCACTTTCCCCCCCCAAAAAATGGGGGGGAAAAGTCCCTGCGTCTTATGGTCCAAATATAGCCTACACATATACTTTAAAAAAAAAGTTTTTTTACTTGCCTGGCTCTGTGTGGTCTCTGTGTGCTTACCCGGCTCTAAAATGGTTCTAAATGCTGCTGTTTACTTTACAGGGTTGATTACATGTGTTTATGACTGTGATATTAGGTTTTAATGCACATAAAATATTTTAGGACACTATTTGTTTCAGAATCTTTTTTTCTTCATTTCCCTTCTCTAAAACCTGGTGCGTCTTATGGTCCGGAGCGTCTTATGGTCCGAAAAATATGGTAGTAGTCCCTGCATCTCACTGTGAACTGACACTGTTGCTAGGGAAACTGATAATTATGTGGCAAAATGGAGGGTGTAGAAGGGAAGAAGGGTTCAGAAGAAATGTGAGGTTTTGCTCTAAATCAGGATGTTAATAGTACAGTTTGTTGATCTTCTGCAGTCATATAATTTAATAAATACTATTAATTATATGTTTGACAAGATGCAGATTTCTGAACTGAGAGAAACGAACAGAGGTGAGTCGGAGTCTGGAGAGCTGCTGGTCACAGGTCATACCTTGTTCACACCATTCTGGGACACGTGTTTATTATAAGTGCAACTGCTTTTAGGAATTACCATGTTCCAAAACATGTTGATTTCTGACATTTTATTTTAGAAATCGATCTTGCAGAATCCCAGACATAAACAGTGTAATTCTCTAAAAGCTCTAAAGAACTGCCTTCTATCACTTCACAAAGTCATACAGCCTCGCAATACCCGCTACGTGGGGAAGAAGGAAATGTTACTATTTATATATAAAAGACACTAAAACCCACCCCACTGAGCTGAATGACCTTAAGGAAGTCACATGGCTCTTCAGTGAATGGTAATGCTGGAGCTAAATATTCACATTTAAGCTGCCCGGGAGGCACTATATACAGATTACATCTTATTAAGGGGAAACCCAGAAAAGGATATAAGCTCAGTGAATGCACTCAAGTCTCAGGCTACCACTTCAGTTTTAAATGAAGATTTCTAATACTTTTCATTTTTAATGGCTAAGAGTTTAGTTCTACAAGTTAACGATATGATCTAAACACTTGCTCATAAAAAAGAAATCTGATGGGGACGTTTTACTACACAAGAAAGACCATCTAAGAGTCAATCAGCTGTCAGGAGACAGCGTTACTGCGGGTGCAATCCCTGTCTGCAATCGCCAGCTCTCTCATGACACTGCTGCTGTATATTCTCTTAGTCCCCTTTCCCCCAGGGGTTTCTGGGGAGCTGTTTAAGTTTTATATCCCTCTGTGTATTTATAAGTATGAATTTGTATGTATTTTTTTAAAAATATATTTTATTGATTTTTTACAGAGAGGAAGGGAGAGAGATAGAGAGCTAGAAACGTCGATGAGAGAGAAACATCGACCAGCTGCCTCTTGCACACCCTCTACCGGGGATGTGCCTGCAACCAATGTACATGCCCTTGACCGGAATCGAACCCGGGACCTATCAGTCCGCAGACCGACGCTCTATCACTGAGCCAAACCGGCTTCGGCTGTATGTATTTTTTAATCTATAAATATGCTATAGATATTAAGACATTCCTTTACATTCATATACACACAAATTATGTATAGGTGTGTATGTGTGCAAGAAAAATCAGTGATTTATTTATGGTTGGTCTATGAAAGAAGACAACCATTTATATAGAAAATGCTTCCAGTATTTTGGTCCCATTAGTTGGTCTTAAACAGAATAAAAGAATGAGAATTATATATAGGACAGCAAGAGAAGAGCACAAAACTTATGTAGAACCTCTTAACAAATTCCAAGAGCTGGAAGTAGTTATAAAAATGACTGTTACTCTAGTGATTTAAAAATTTCAAACCTTCCTCATTAATAGATAGTAGTATAGCTCACTGGAAATAAACTATCACTTCAAGGCAATTTATTAAGTCTATCAATGTTACGATGGTTTTACAATAATACTTGGGCTTGCGTAAGTTGGAACTTTGTTTCTTACCATCAAAGCTTTTACTTTTGATAAGACAAGTGCTAAAGGATAAGTCCCTATTTTGCTAAACCTTTTCTCCTTTCCCATGGCAGAAAGGCATTTTTAACATCCAAATCCCTGGGTAAGAAAAAGAACGTAAAGCTGAATTTCAGTCATGACCAACAACGTCTGTCTGCACAAGGGCTAGCCGAACCTTGACTCAGGCCGTCTGGATAGGACATCTGCTTCGCATCCACGTTCGCCATGGTGTCTCCCCGAGAGACTTCTCCGAGCGGTGTTCCCCTCTCGAGGATGTTGTTGTTGTTGTTCACTTGAGTCCCGTTTTGCTTCAGCAGCCTGAACACCTCAACCTCCAAATCTCTGATCTGAGAGAGAGAGGGAAAAAAAAATCCATTTCCAAAACTCGAACCCAGCACTCCTCTCCCAGTACTAGGCAAAACTGCCCTGTGGTTTTCATGGCTTCAGCACTCACTCACCCGCACTTGCAGGCCTTGAACTTCCACAACATGAGCCTTTTCCAAATCTTCTATTTTCTGCCTTTCTGCTTCCTGTCTCTTGATGAAATCAAGTTCTCTGAAGAAGAAAATAACAGCTTTGATTGCATCAAACACTCCAGAAATGAGGAACCTTGTGAACGTGGTTATTAGAATTAGTAAATGACACGGTGGGATAAATAACTGGACAGCTATTTACGTAAATAAAATTAAATCATAATTAAAGAAAATGTACAGAGTAATGAAAGCAAATAAAACATTTTAATGTAGCACAAAGTAAAGAAAAATGTCTTGATTCTGCTTACTATGATTTTCATTTGCAGCTCCTGATTCAAGAGCACCCATACGTCTTAGAGCTAATAAACCAATGATCCACCTTGAGTAATTTAGTGGAAATAATTACATGTCAGGTGGTGTCACTATTAGCCTTTAAAAAAATTACATTTACAGAGTAATATATCTAAGCAAACTGGTGAAACTGAATAGTCAAAGAAAATTATAGTAAGATTGATTCCTATGAATGACGGTGGAAAAGGTCTGGATGGGTCATAAAAACAGAGGGGGGTGTGTTTGCCATTTATTACCCTGATGACAATAACAGGGGGAGAAGGAGAAGCAGCTCCATTTTGAGAGCCTGGATTATAATATGCAAATTTATCAAAACTTACAAAATTGTTAGATGACAGAGTTACATTTTTGACAAGAAAAGTGAAAATAGTAATGTACTAAATTCACTGTTACAAAGAGCAATTCCCACCTTTAAAACAGTATACTTTTCACAGCATTTTCTTTTAAATATTGAAAACGGTATTTCCATGATAGGAAGTAACTGAGATGTGGTGAATCTTACATCTACTAGTATGCTTAGCTTCAGAGGCTTGGCACATGGAAGGCCAAAAGAGGGCCTGGCATTCCTTTTTAATTGTTCTAGCTAGCTGGCAGTAACTGATGAAAAAAAATCCAGTACAAATCTCGTCGGTCTCCCTGAAATTACACCGAGATCCAACAGATGGAAGCAAAGCAGCATCGGCTGCTGTTACATTCATGTTACATTCAAGAGCAGACTGCGGTGGTGCGGGTCTCTTACTGCAGGGAAGTGGCTGGGCAGGGGTCCTGCTCCTCAATGCTGAGGCCCTCTGCAGTGGGGGAATCCTGCTGTTACTGAGTCCAGCCCCGGCAAGGCCCCGTGGCTGCTCTGCAGGCACCACGGCCTGGGGTCCTGCCCCAAGTCAGCCAGGCTTCCTGCTTCTGAGTTACAGGGATGTTTAAAGAAGAGCAGAGATTTCAAATGTTTTAATAGTAACTATTAATGATTACCGATCAAAGAAACTACTTCATGGTATAACTGGCTGCCAAAAAAAAAAAAAAAAAAAAAAGATTAAACAAAGTATAATCTCCTAAAAAGAAAAAAGATAAAATTATTTTCCAAAACGTATGTATATATTTGCTCTAACTATGCTTCTTAGAGGGAAAAGTCCTCTTTTCTGTCCCACTATGTATCACAGGATTATTGGATTTAAACCTGTTTTACATGCACACAGTTTTTTAGTCATCAGAAGTGCTTACTTTTGCTGAAAATCCTTGATCAGTTTCTTCGCCTTGTTGTATTTCTTTTCCAAGGCCTGATACTGGCTTTGAGTCTCTTTGAGGTGTTCGTTTACTGTGTGGCACAGGGTCTGAGCCTCGATCCAGTAGCTCTCCAACTTCAACATTCTTTCTTTGTTCTCTTCTATATTCTGTTGGAGTTGGTTTTTTTCTAGTTCCCACCTCACTTTCTCATTTTCTGCTGCTTGCAGCTGGATTAAAAAAAAAAAGTCAAGATAAAAGATAATCTGGGTACTTCTGTACCAACCCCCTCCACACACACACACATTTTAATAGCATGGTTTTGATTAAATTCAACTGTTAGATATACTCAATCACCGAACACCTTGAGATGAGAAGCGAAAGCATTATTTTCATTATTTTATAGATTATAAAATGGAAGCCTTGGAAAGTGAAATGCTCTGTCCAAGGCCGCACATCTGATAAATGACAAAACATGTGGCTGACTCCAATTCCCATTATCTTCCCGTCACTGACTGTGGTCTGAAATTCTGTGAGCAGTAAAAAAATGTCTTAGAGTTTGACTAGGTCTCGTCAGTGAATTTCAGCAGGTTTTCCTTTCGATGTTTTTTAAAAAACATATAACGTGTTAAAATTTAAATGAAAAGGGGAAAGGGACAGAAGCACAGTGTGGCCTATTGGCTGGCGGGGAGGGGAGCTCTGGAGTGGTTTAGATTTGAACCCAGCTGCCACTATTAGCCTTTAAAAAATTACCTAAAATTTTTCAATTACAGTTTAGAGATTTTTTAAATGTAATTTCTTATGTAATTTTATAATAAGTAAAAAGGGGAGGGAGGGGAGACCAGCAGGAAAGGAGAAAGGGGCAGAAGCACAGGGTGGCCTGTTAGTTGGCAGGAAGGGGGCGCTCTGGAATCATTACATTTAGATTTGAGTCTTAGACCAGCCACTACCAGCCTTTTCCCCCATTTTATTTCTTTTTAAAAAGTTAATTACTTTTTTTCAGTTACAGTTTACTGAACTGAAAAAAAAATAATTCAACATTATTCTCTTTTCGTTTCAGAAGCATAGCAAAGTGGTTAGCAGTTCTTTACACGTGCGCCCTCCCCCATGCCTCAGGCAGCCACCTGGCCGCCAGGCACAGCCAGCACAAGGCCTTTAAATCTTGGGCGAGTAATTTAAGTTCTCTAACTAGCACATGCGTGGTGCAGCTTCTAGCGCATAATAATGATCTGATAAATGTCAGTTATTTTTATTTTGTTTTTATCCCTTTTGCTGATATTATTACATCCTTTACATGAACACAGTTTTTAGCTAATTATTTTGCTGGCAGTGTTCAGCGCTTTATAAGCCCTAATCTGCAGGAAAGTATAAAAGATAATGTAAGTAAAAATATAAATAATTGTTGAATTTAGATCCCTCCAGTGGAACTGAAAGGCAGTTTCTTTTTTTCTGCCTCGGGGGACGGTTAGGAATGGATAATAGAATTCCCACCCCCTCATTTCTACAGAAACTCAAGGCTGATCCTTTAGGCGAGGGGTCCAAGGTCATTTATTCACAATAACTATCTGACCTTTAAACAGGTTTCATCTATTTCACACACCTCCTTTAAAGTTCAAGAGCATGCAGAGTCATTATAAATCATTTTCAAAATCCAAGACATTCCAGAACCATACAGCATTCAGCAAATTTAAAAATGTCATATATATTTTAAACTAAATATATTGGCAAAGCAGATCACAAAGTAAAAAGTAGTAAAAATTTTTTTTCAAAATTAGGCATTGTGTTATCAACAGAGGCATTAAGAATCATAGTAAAGTAAGCTAATCTGTGGATATTATATGCCAATATAATGAGAAAAATATTAAAAAAACACCCTAATTTATAGGATTTTCTAAATTCAATGTTTATAGTCTGAAACAGAAGCTTTGTTAAAGCACATAAAATCACAGGGGATTCTTTTCCCTAATTGTAACCGACAATTAAAAAAACACTTCTATTCTTCCATTCTATGTCAAGAAACAATAGCAGCTTAAAACAGGGCTGGTATTTTACTGCATCTTTTATTAAGCAATGTTTTACACTCAAGTTGTTTATTTACCAACCATCACTAATTTAAAAATTATAATTCACAGAGCTTGGCTGATACCATGAATGATGTATAGGCATGTTTTGACTAAAGAGCTACAGAGTTATTAGCTGGGAATACCATTTAACCAAAATAGCCTTGCTAATTAATCTCCATTTAAAACACATGGAAAAGCCAAAACAAGCCTTCAATGTGAACAGAAAAACTGATTGTTAATGGTGGAGGAGGAATTAGGTCTTAATTTTAAAAATACCATAAATACAATAAAGAATATTGTTTTTAAAGTAATCAAAAGATATTTTTAAGTCTCTGAAACTACGTTTTTGATGAAACTAGACACAATTCTAGGAATGTACAACTACCCTGCAACTTAATAACTAAAAAAATTTTCCTTTTGAGTCTTATAAATGAACTAAAAAAATACATAAAACCTTTCATCATGACCTGTTTCCCCCCACAAACTTAAATAATGTGAACTAAATGACTAAAAATTTCCAGAAGCACCTGGCACCTACAAGCAACTATTCATATGTCATATTAAATTTCATGATATTTAATTATTAGAAATTGGATTTTTTTTTCTATGCAAAACTAATGTGCTATGTTAAAAACACATTGTTTCTGAGGAATAAGTGAAAAATAAATGATTAAACCTATCTACAATAAATCTACCTAAAATTTTAAAAAATAATAAAATAAAGAGATACAATATAATAATTTGTGCATTAAGGAATTAGTGGTCAAAATGTAATTGAGATTCATGAGTCATTAAAAATATTCACTTTGGGGGGAAAGCTCCGAGAAAAGTACATATGCGTAAATATGTATTTTAAAAATGTTGTGCAATTCTCTCTGAGGGGGGCCGGGGTGCTCACCCCCCGTGGTGCAACTCCCACGGCCAGATTCATCCATGCATCTGACCGTGGACATGAACCTGTGACGGTTGTATGCTTTCAGAGACGGGAACAAATCCTTTAGTCCCACGGCTGAATTTATTCATAGCCTCTGAAGTTTAAAAAGTATAATTCAAACTCCATGTATTGACTGATGCGCTTACCTTGGTCTTCAATTTTTGAATCTCTGCTTCTGTAACTGCGTGTTTGATTTGCAACTGAAAATGGAAAAGAAAGAAATATCGGAACTAAGAAAGTCTATCTATATTTCCCAAGTCTCAGCAACCAGAAGGATACTGCTGCATTGTACAGCAGGGAGGCCTAGAAAAGTGCTTCCGGGCAGCAGGTTGTAAATTAAAATGCCCCTTGTGAAAAACGACTTACTCGGTGCAAACTAATGACACGCAGGATCTGTGGCCCACACTCCCTAACAGAGGATTAAGATACGAATTTAACTGATCAGGGGCCAAAGAGAAGGAAACACATTTGCTTGCTCCCTTTGCAGCTCTTCTTTAGGATTTGAATACCACGGAATGGTTTCCTTGCAGTCCCGGGACTGAAAAGCCCAAGCTGGGAAGCCAGCCGGTGGCTGTATGAAGGTGCCGTTCCAAAGCTGGAGGACAGGTGGCGCTGTGGTACCGCGAGTCACTAGGCTGAGCAGCTGTTTTGCTGCAAAGGGTGAGCCGAGGATGATGCAGATCTACAGCGAAATTGGTGTTTATTTATTAATTGCAGGAAAGGTACAGATCTACATTTCTGTCCTCCAAAATATCTACTTCTGTTGAAAACCGGGGCTTCAAAAACTTCGGTTACAGTTTATTAGCACAAGAGTCCCTGCATTTACATTTGTTTTGCTTCTCCCCCACTCAACACCCCCCACCTCTTTTTTTTTTCTTTTTTCTGTTTTTTTTCCTTTTCTCTGTGAAGGAAGAAAACAACCTACTCATTTCCTCCAGGGATAAATACACCAACATTTACAGAAAACAATATGTGGGCTGACAACCTCCTCTCTCAGATCCTTGGGGCCAAATGCGTTTGGAATTCAGCATTCTTCCAATCTCAGAAAGGTAGAAAGAAGCATTTTCCCATAAATCGCTATTACCCACAGCAGATCCTGTGGAGGCACTCTGTAATCAAACACACACACACACACACACACACACACACATATATGTGTGTGTGTATATATATATATACATATACATATATATATATATATATATATATATATATATATATATATATATATATATATATATATATATATATATATATTTTTTTTTTTTTTGCGTATGACTATTTCCACTAAGTGCGGGAAATAGAAATTGTAAATAATATCCTGTCGGCTTGAGTCATGTTTACTCCCAAAGGCGTTTGCCACAAAAGTATTTCAGAAATCTGTTGTCAGACCACATGATTGAACAAAAGGGACTGCGAGCTTCTAATATTACTGTAATCAAATAAGCCTACGGTTTTATTATCAGAAAGTCTGATGGGAGGATAGAAACGAGAACCTCTGGGGATGACGACGCCTCGGAAACCTCAGCTCTCTCTTTAGTTTGTAACCTGCGTTTTCTTGATTTTGACCTGGCCACTAAAGGCATATGGGAAGCATGAAGAGGGAAAGAAGTCAGAACCAGGCACAGGTTGATTTAATATCCGTAAATGCCAAAGGATAAAAGCGCAGACCCCAGGGCCCCGTCGGAGCTCCTGCTGGGTTGAAAGTCCTGGGGTCTGCACTGCCTCAGGGCTCACTGCTCCCGGTCTCCTCCCTCCGGACCTGAGGGGTGACCTGGACAGCTGTTTGCATTTGGTCCTGCCCCAGGCACATCGCTTATCTTCCTCTCCAGCTTGAGGACCTGGCCACTCCTGGGGTCTCAGCCCAAAGGCATGGCTCTTGTGCTTTTCCCCCTCCCTGGCTCCCCTGGGCCTCTGCACTCGACCAGTTTCCAGAGGTGAAGCACTCTCCCCTGAGGAAACGTCTGGGACCCCACCATGCCAGGCACCCCGGCCTCACACACTCCAGGGCCCCAGTGGACACTCCAGCTGTGGGCCTTACGATGAGCACAGCCCTGCAGAATGCCCATCCTTGTGCTTCTGAACTCACGTGAGATGCAAAACTAGGCTCCTGGCCAGACACTGGCCCGGTCCAATGCTCACAGTGAATTCCTGTTAAAACCAGGATTTGAAGCCTTGATCTTCTGGTGCCTGATACATTAGAGATTAATGCAACAGGCATTTATGGAAGAACTGTTATGTGCAAGGTGATGTGAAAATAACTCTCCTTCTAATAAATACCACTGTTAATCAACCCTACCAATATGAATCAATAAACTAAAAATGGCAAAAGTGCTTCAATGTTAGACATGATACATTATTTATGCATAAACAAATATATTCGCGCACGCACACATCCACACGTACATGGCTATAAGGAATTATTTTCCGGGGAGACCCTGCACCTCAGGGTGCACACATTTGGGCGCCCACCTAATCCACGTGCCTAACTGGAGTCTGTGCGATTATGATTGACAAGAGCAAGGCTCTTTCTACCTCGTGCCAAGTGTGAAGAGAGCAGCAGGTCCGTTTCGCTGTGGACGGTTGTTTCACTATAATAGCGATGAGCTACCGAACTTAACTCATTTTTATCCATTCGTCACAGTTCTAGGAACCTACCTACGATGTTAAAGGAGGACGTACTGTAGTGGTTACATTGACTGAATTCACCTCGGGCCTATCAGGTAATGATGTTGGAAAATTATTTTAACCTCTCTGACCTTCATTTCCCCCACCTGCAAAACGAAGTTCCTCATAGGTCTTAGCTTCCTTATTGGAAGATTAAATGAGATATAGCCCCTGCAAAGCTTTTAGCACAGTTGTTAATAAAATAGTCAGTCCTCCATACAGTTAGCCAAGATTAAGAAAGAGTGATCAGAAGAGGTCAAATATGATTACCTCAATGGCACCTGTCAGGAAAAGGTGTTATTAATGCTATAAAATGTCACATCTGAAATAAAACAGACCCCTCTGGCTCTATCGGAAGGGTGGCAAGAGTGAAAAGGGCAGATCTTGGGAGGAACACGGCAGCGATGGGCGAGAGCAGGTTTTGTTTCCTCAGTGGAAATCCCTGTAGGAGAACCAGGTGCACTGCCCGCAACGTGTCCAGACTTTGGATTTTCTCTGCTCAATTACTGTGGCCTCTAGCAAGCTGCTTCTCTGGGCCGCAGCTTCCAGTGAAAAATGAGGGGCTGGATGTGAAGAACTCCAGTGCTCTTGCTAGTACTACAGGTGTGACCTTTATGAAACGGAGAGCCTGGAGACGGTTGTCATGGTTGCAGAGTCTAAAAATTCCTGTCAAGGTACATGACAGATTAACCCACCGATGTGTGGGGTAAACTTAGACAACAGGCAAGTTAAGTCTTCAGTTACCCCATCCCTCCTACCTCACCGAAATGGGTAACGGAAGAGAGCTGAACTCATTAGCAGAACCCTGATAAAAGCTTTGAGTGTTCCTAAATGCAGCCAAATGCTTTAGATACAAAAAAGCACAATGAAGTAATTATTTAGAAGATGGACAAAAGTTTTGGTGCAAAGTATTCTTAGTACTGACAGGCCTAAAAATCATAGATACGGAATTATTTTAATCCTGTATGGACATTAAAAGAATTCCTACAAATTTATCACTATTAACAAGAAAGCACCTATGCTAATAAAAGCCTAGGTGGCTGCCCCCACATCATCACAAGATGGCTGCCACAAGATGGCTGGCAGGGGAGGGCAGTTGTGGGCAAACAGGCCAGCAGGAGAGGGCAGTTGGGGGCAACCAGGCCAGCAGGGGAGGGCAGTTGGGAGTGACCAGGCCAGCAGGGGAGAGCAGTTGGGAGTGACTGGGCTGGCAGGGGAGCAGTTAGGCATTGATTGGGCCAGCAGGGGAGCGGTTAGGGGGTGTTCAAGCTGGCAGGTAGATGTGGTTAGGGGCAATAAGGCAGGCAGGCAAGCAGGCGAGCAGTTTGGAGCCAGCAATCCCAGACTGTGAGAGGGATGTCCGATTGCTGGTTTAGGTCTGCAGGGATCATGTATAAACCTGCAGATGGACATCCCTTGAAGGGTCCCAGATTGGAGAGGGTACAGGCTGGGCTGAGGGACACCTAGAAAAAATAAACTAACTGAACTCTTTTATTTTAAAGAGAAAGAAAGTGTGTTTTAGTAGCTTAAGTTACAGAGCTAACAAGAATCAAAGCCGGGTTTTATAAATTTCACTCCATGGTTTTTTCCACGGGGACCCTTTATCTTTTTTATCATTTCCTCCAGCATTGCCCATGTGTTGGAGGGAAGCAAGACAGGCACTATTAATCACATTGTTCAGAAGGGGAAAGGGGCTCAGAAGTTACATGGCTTCTTCTAGCACCCAGATGTAGGTGGTGGAGTGGAAATTACCCCAGGTCTGATGCCCCAGCCTATGTTCCCCCCTTCCCCATGCACCTAATCTGAACCAGTTCTCGGATATATTTTTTTATTTAAACCTCACAAAAACCCAGCAGCATCTGTCATGGCTGTCACCTCCAGATGAGAACGCATTTCTCTGACTGGAAACCATGGGTTACTCTGGTGGCCTCTGAGTATCCTGACATCGACTGCCAAGTGCTGCCCAAGCATCTACATGCCAGGTTGGCACCAGACATCTACTTTACATCATGTAATGTCAGTATAAAACAACAAAGCTTGTCCCACTACATTTCAGGAAATAAAAATATTAAACCCAGCTGATGATTGTTTCTGTCATGATAATTAGACCGTCCCATTCTCAGTATGGGAAAGTCATGAAAACTATAATCTCCATGAGCACTTAAACATTAAGATGTATTCTGAGAAATAAAAGATCTAGAACAGTGGTTGGCAAACTCATTAGTCAACAGAGCCAAATAGCAACAGTACAACGATTGAAGTTTCTTTTGAGAGCCAAATTTTTTAAACTTAAACTTCTTCTAACGCCACTTCTTCAAAATAGACTCGTCCAGGCCGTGGTATTTTGTGGAAGAGCCACACCCCAGGGGCCAAAGAGTTGTATGTGGCTCATGGAGCCACAGTTTGCCGACCACGGATCTAGAACTTAAGAATTAATTAGGAAATTCTGGTATAAAGTGACCAAGAGGTGAAACTGAGTAAAACTATGTGTTGTACGTATTTTATTAAGTTAATTGAAAATGTCAGTTTTTAA